GGAGCATTAGCCTGCTGCAAGTAGCCTTCAGAAGATGGGTACACTGTGGTCATAAAGGGATAGACATGGTTAGTAACAATACTCAGGTAGGCTATGGCATTGACACGATGCTCAATTGGTACTAATGGGCCCAAAGTGTGTCAAGAAAATATCCCCCACACCATTACACCACCACCACCAGCCCGAACTGTTGAAACAAGGCAGGATGGATCCATGGTTTCATGTTGTTGATTTTGACCCTACTATCTGAATGTCACAGCAGAAATCGAGACTCAAAGTTTTTCCAATCTTCTATTGTTTATTTTTGTTGAGCCTGTGTGAATTGTAGCCTCAGTTTACTGTTGTTAGCTGACAGGAGTGGCACCCGGTGTGGTCTTCTGCTGTTGAAATCCATCCGCCTCGAGGTTCGACATGTTGTGCGTTCAGAGATGCTCTTCTGCGTACCTCAGTTTTAACGAGTGGCTATTTGAGTTACTGTTACCTTTCTATCAGCTCGAACCAGTCAGGCCATTCTCCTCTGACCTCTGGTGTTAACAAGACCTTTGCGTTCACAGAACTGCCGCTCACTGGATATTTTCTCCTTTTCAGACCATTCTCTGTAAACCCTAGAGATAATTGTGCGTGAAAATCCCAGTAGATCAGCAGTTTCTGAAACACTCAGACAAGCCTGTCTGGCACAGACAACCACGTCACGTTCAAAGTTGCTTAAATCATTCTTTCCCATTCTGATGCTCAGTTTGAACTACAGTAGATCGTCTTGACCATATCTACATGCTTAAATGCATTGAGTTACTGCCATGTGATTGGCTGATTAGACATTTGCGTTAACAAGCAGTTGGACAGGTGTACCTAATAAAGTGGCTGGTGAGTGTATAAGCTAATGTGCTCCAAAGGAGTGACAAATTTAAGAAAAAGTATAAAGAAAGAAAGTATAAGTATAAGCTTTAAGAAAGTATAAACGTACCCCATGTTTATTAAGCTTCTAAACCTTTTACAGTAGAGATTTTTTTTTTTTTTGATTGACTTAGTAATGTTAGTTTAGTTTAGTAAAGATTATCTCAGTTCAATGTGGTTTAATATTCACTGCTGAGAGTTCAAACACTGAAGAGTAATCCATCGATGTGCAGCTCTACAAATCCTGAACTATGGCAATAGTGGCGAGGAAAAAAAAAAACTTCACCAATGGGCGAAAGTGAAGGAAAAAACAATGTCACTGTTAAAGTTCAGTTTAATTCCAATTAGCTCAGATCGGTGAAATGCAAATGTCCCTGCTTAAAGATCTTGTGAAATTAAAATAACATTCAGGATGTTAGTACCAGTATTTTGTTATTAAGGATATCTAGAAGCTAGTGTGCTCCAAAACATTGACAAAACTTGGATTTAGAAGATAGAAACATGCCCCATGTTTATTAAGCTTCAAAAGAACCTTTTACTTTAGTAATGTTATGATAAATACAGTATAAAGCATGAATCAATATAATATATTGTTCTCTGAAATCCACAAAGAAGGTATGTGGCAAAAAAATGGAAATGGTTTTACAGGTCCATTTCCAACCTTAGGAATTGGCCATAATATGATATGGTTGGTTTTGACCATATTTGGAAGGGTCGTAAATATTAATGTTAAATTTACACTGACAGAATATACTTGAGATCAATAGGAAGCAGTGATATTTGATAAATTAAAACTCCTGTTCAGTTCAGTATAAATGGTAAATGTTAAAGTTCAGTTTAGCTCAGATCAGTGTAATACTAACTCACTTAAAGCTCCCTTGAAATTAAAATAACGTTGGATATTAGTATCAACATTAGTATTAATTTGTAGGTCTCAAGGATATCTATTAGCTAGTGTGCTCTAAAATAGTGACAATTTGCATTTTGAAGATATAAACATCCAAACAAACAACGGTTTGTTTGACGCCACCTCATACTTCAGTTTCTCATCAAATCTTCTGACCAATCAAATGCTCTCTAGTATCTGACATGACCCGCCCCCTTCTCAATACTTTTCATTTTATATTCATTTAAACTCAATCACTCTCACTTGCAGAGCTGTGATAAAAACAAAATGCTATTTGGCTGCTTTTTTAAAAGGGGAGAAGCTACTTTATGTCCCACCCTATCTTCTTGTATCACTTGAGATTACGTCAAACTTAAAAAAAAATTCACTTCACGAGAGCTTTAAACACTAAAAACATCACCTCCCAATATGTGCTCTGCAAATAGAAGCAGAGAGAGAGAGAGAGAGAGACATATGGCTATTTGCGTTCCTCCATTTGAAGAGCTTTTTGGTCTGCTGGTGCTTCGCCACAAGCCATTTTACACCTCAGCAGCCTACATTTGTCCCAGGCTTTTCAGAGATAAAACGGGATTTCAGCCATGCTTTTGAGCTGGATCATAAAAGCCTGTGCTTTTAGATATCTTGAGATATATTTTATAATACCTATCACACAAAAAAGCAAAAAAGTGACAAAATATCACTGCAAAAACTTGCTGTATGCAGTACATCAAACACAGTCTGTGTATGCCTTGGAGTCTATTGAGGCTGTAACTTTTCTATTCACAGTTAATGTCAGTGTATGTTAGATGAAAGCCTTTTGGTAAGCTAATTATGGATTTTGCATGAAGTACACAAGACTCAATTCACACTGAAAATATTTTTAAATTTCAAGCATTTTTGCCCCATGTTTAAACCAATAGCTTAAATAAAAACAAGCTGTATTATTTTAGCATTTTGTTTTCTGGTGCTGTATCAAGTTGTTAATATTGGATTACTGTAAGCTCTTATATTTCACACTTTGCAGTTTGTCTGCATTTGGATTTTTACATTGCACACAGTTCAGTCATTTTGGACGTTAAATAGAGGATAAGGTTAAAACTGATCAGCCTGGATATGCATGACATGGCTAGAGACAACCATAGTATAAAATTTGGTACAGTTTCATTAAGATATTGCTAGTAAATTTTACAAACAGTTACAAAAAAAGGAGTTAAGACAATGAATTAAACTATAAATTATATGAAAACTGAAACAAGTAGTTTTAAAGTATGGCCCCATGTTCATTTAGAGTTTTTTTTTTTTTTTTTTGAGGAACTTTAGTAATATTATCATATATAAATATAATAAATTGTTCTCTGGTATCTACATAGTAAGTATGTAGCACTAGTGGGAGTATCTGATTAACCCGATACAGGTGAAATCTACCCGCATTTAGTGGGTTTTAATGTCAAGCCCTGTACTGTAGGCAGGGCTTAATTTGTACCAGAACGCGCGCCGGATCCGGCACCTCATTTTACAGATCCCCCTCATCAACTGCCCCATCCACTGTTCACTTTTATTTTCTTTCATGACTCCCCAACCCTCTTCACTTTCGTGCGTGACACCTCTCCATCCTCAGGTAACATGCCGGATCCGTTACCCCGATCTTTTCCGGGACCGCGCAATTCACAAATTAAGCACTGACTTTAGGTATTTATATATGTGTATATTGATATGTATATATGTAATGATATATGTTACCACGCATTTTTTTGTTAAATGATTGTTCTGTATTTTTTTAAATAGTCATTTTTAGTTTTTTTCTGTATTGTAAAAAAAAACTAAACAAAAATAAAAGTAAAAAAGAAATAAATTCACTTTCATCAAAGTTTTCAACATCCAAAAATGATCAAGGTGCAATATACAATTCAAAGCCATAACAAATGTATCACAAATATGAAAAACCATTGTTTTAATTGTTTTTAATAGTCCTAAATCACATATCATTTTCTTCATTTTCATTTAGTTTTTAGTTGTTAATCTGTTGTTGAAAGATTTTTTTTTGTCAGCTGAACAACTGTCACGCTGTCAACTTAGTCATTTGATCATTTAAGGGAGTAAATTGAATTCCGCCACATGTTTCTAAACAACTCAAACAAGAGTGACAATCCCAAATCTCTGCAGTGTGTGCATGTAGACAGTGAGTCACTCTTGTTTGAACTCCGAAGCCCACCCGATCCCTTAAGGACCCTGTGACTCAACGGGGTTGCGGCTGGATTCAGCTTACTGTTCTAGCGAGGGCAACTCCAAGGGCACTTCAAAAGCTCTCCGTCTCACAAACACACATTCCCCTGAATAAATCGCACTGATTTATTCTGCAGATGCTCTGGCTAAACGAACCGCCTGTGATTCCTCAGCACAGAAAACCCAGTTAACCTCACGCCTTTCATGTGTTCGTCAGTAGACCGAACGCCAGAACAAATCTAACACTATGCTTTTGTTGCGCTTCTGTTTGTAATGTCATTTATTTGACGGTACTTTATTGGCTTCGGGATGTTCTCCGGGCGTGAAGTTCAATACGGTCCATTCTTCTTTGGGAATTTGCTACTTATGGCTGTTCCGAGGAATGAACGGTTTTCCTTGAGGCGCTTTTGCATAAAAAGCATCTGTTTCTGCTGTGAGAAATTGATTTTTTCCACCTCGTATTCTTTGGCAAAATAATTATCTTTAACGTGATAGTGGGATGATGTTTGGGCGCTGAAGGCTGGCTCTGTTTTGGCCAGATTTAATATGCGTTGAAAGACTGGGTCACTCAGTGTGAGTTCACCTCAGGCTGTGACAGCTGCGCTCTTCAAATCCCACAATGCTGAAAAACCTCACCAAAAAAAAGAAAAACCATGAACTTCAGCAGTCTATTAGTTGTTGTACGTGTCGGTGTGGGTTATAGGAGCATGTTTCTTCTCATTGTGCTGCTTTTCTCATGCCCATAATGAAAGCTTGTCACCATTATCATCTCTCTCTTTATTGTTCATAACGGGCCTGAAAAAATGGCCTAATTGAAGATAGTGTCTCTCAGCCTGAACCCATTAAGCATCGAGGTTAGATCCGCAGTTATCCGTGAGAGGTACTATCCAGCTATATGGAAGGAAGGTCATAGCCATTGTCACAAGTGTCTTCAAATGATACCAAAGCCTAACAGTCTTGATAAACTCTGTTCAAAAAAACTTGTGTTGTGTTTTAGGAACTTGAGCGAGTGACGTCACTGCAAACCAATCTGCAGCTGGCTGCGGTCATCTGCACTAATGCACGAAGGTGAGAGAGCTTTCAATATCTGTTCGTTGGAATATTTGATCTGTTAAATGAAAGATATGTTAGTGTTTATTATCTGTGTGTTGGTTCAGAAGGACATACTTTCTTTGGTGGGATAAAAAATGGTACTTATGCACATTAGAGATACATTCCTCAGACTATTTTTATGCAAAACGTAAAATACGTTGTTTTGGGTGTGTTTCGACGCATGTTTCAGATGACAAATCCACTAGAGGGCGCTGTGTACATTTCCAATTTAAACTGTGTTACTGAGGGTGCGTTTTGTTGTTTGTTTGTTGTTTGTTTGTTTTTAGATGCAAAACCTTCTTGTGCACGTCCTTGAGAAGACGGGATTGTAGACAAAAAAATGCTGAGTTCCTCCAAATTCAGCCTGATCTCATGAGGAAACGTAACTTTTTACGTTTTGTCAGTTTAGTGGCTAATTCATTCGAATTCGTATCGTATCGAGTTCATTCATACTAAAATGTACAATTTTAAAAAGGAGGCGTGGCACACAACCTCACACCTAAACCCAACTGTCATTGGTGGATAAGCAAATAGTACTAAATTGTTCGAATAAGATTTTACGAATTAGCCACTAAATTAAATAGTCTCAAATTGTCGCGAGATTGTGTTGCCAAATTCTTTTATGTTGTCTCAATAAAAGCCCCCTTAAACAATATATTTTTAGGTTGTCTACAGAACAAACCGTTTTTGTACAATGATTTGCCTAATACCCTAACTTGCCTATTTAACCTAGTTAAGACTTTGAGGGCCTTATCATACACCCGGTGCAATGTGGCACAAGGCGCAATGCAATTGTTGTTTCAGCTTGACGCAAGAGTCATTTTGAAGTTATGCGCCACGCTGTTTAAATAGCAAATGCATTTGTGCTCATATGTGCGCCCGTAGGCGTTCTGGTCTAAAAAGGAAGGCGTGTTGAAGTGTATTACTGGCGCGTTGCTATTTTGAGAAACTATAATAGATTTTTTAATAGACCAGAACAAAGCCGGTCTATTGTCCAGCGCAGAGCGCGTTAGTTGTGCACCTCGCTTACACACTGCTTAATACACACACAAGATGTAGAGCAATACGCAAATATCTTTACATATGAAAAAGAATTAAAATATTAAGGATATATATAGAATATAACAAGAATATATATATATAGGATATAAATATAAAGGATTAAAATATTACAAAACATATTATTTTCTAGCCAACATAAATATAAAAACTACTGCCTTCATGCCTTCTTCATCTCGGTAGGCATTTTCCTTTCATTCAATTTGCTTTTGTATAATGTTATTATTATTAGCAGTATTATTTATTATATTTTATTTATATTTGTCTTATTAAAAACAAGCTAAGATTTTCCCACCTGTCAGGTTTTAGACCATATGGGGCACAGCATGTATATTAGGATAAAACAAGTTTTTTTATTACACTTCGTTATTACTGTTCATTTATTCGTTTGCTGGAAATTAGAACTGAATTTAAAAATTGTTTTGAAACAAATCTTTGCGCTTAACAAACGAAATTAATTATTTATACGCTAATTAATGTCTGTGCGTACAAGGTTTCTCTATCCACGAGAGTGAAAGGGAAAGTTAATAATTTATCTTTCGTTTGCGCGCTGTAGATACTCTGTTTAACTGTTTTCTTGCTAGTGAAATGCTCAGTTTTTCCACTTCCACTTACTTTATGTCATGTAAATAGCAAATGTGCCATAATGCGAGGCAACTGACTCTTAAAGGGAATGAGAGATGAGAGTCTGATTGGTTTGTTCTCAAAACACACCTATAACTCATTAAGAAAATAATCTCAACCCTTTTGGACCATGCGCCACGGCGCAAAGCAGATTTTTCCATCCTTATATTAGCAAAAGTGGATTCTGACACGCCCTGAATGCGTTTGCACCCTGCGCCTTGCACTTTGCACATGGACCATCAAAATAGAGCCCTTAATGTTACTTTGAGCTGAATATTAGTATCTCGGAAAATAACTAGTAAAATATGATGCACTGTCATCATGTCGAAGATAAAATCAGTTATTAGAAATTAGCTATTATGTTTAATAATGTGTTGAAAAAAAATCATCTTTCTGTAAAGAGAAATTGGGGGAAAATATACAAGGGACTAATAATTCTGACTATCATTAGTGTAAAAAAAGCAAACATTGTTGGCATCATACTGCTTCATAGCATTCGTTTTACCTAGAAGCTACAGTCAAAGTATGGTGAAGTATGTATTTGCCGTTTCAAAAATGTAGGCTGGAGCACATATTTCTAATGAGCCTGTCGTAAAAAAAATTAAAAATTGGCTTGAATAGGGGATTTAAGTTTTCATATTTTAAAAAGTAAACACAAGTGCACAAAAGCTGCAGAAGTAGGCCATAAGACTTGTTTGCACTATATTCCACGGCTTCTGAAGTCATATGGTGGCTTTGTTTGAGAAACAGATGTGCAATGTACATCATTACCATATATTCCTTTAGTTTTGTGTATTGTGTGTCTTGCATAAGCACGTTTTTTTATCATCTGCAACATGCTTTGACATCCAAAGCAACTTATATAATGCGGTTAATATCAAGCAAGCAGAGCATGCGGATTTGTGCTGCACAAGAGACTTTTAGTCTTGACGTTTAATGTAAATGCCACTGTAATCTCTCTCTAGTTTTTCTATTTTATTTTTTTATTCCATTTTCTCTTCTAAACACTGAATATAATGATTTTTTTTGTAGAGTGAAGATAACAACATTCTTTTATCCAGTACAATCGGTAGCCAAAAATGAAAATTTAGTATTCATTTACCTATTTGATTTTTTTTTATATTCTATTAAACACAAAGAGGATAATTTGAAGAATGCTGGTGGCTGGTATATTTTTGACTCCCATAGTAGAAACAATACAATGGAAGTCAATGGGTGCCAGCAAACAGGATTCTTTAAAATATCTTCTTTTGTGTTCAACAGAAGAAAGAGTCTTTAAAATCTCACAAGGGAGAGTAAATGTTGAGGTTGTTTACATTTTACACATTATAAATATAAACAAGATGGTAAAATATGAAGAAAGCTGTATGTGGGAGTACTTTTTATATACTGTTATGTTCACTTTAAATAATATTATGTACCTTTTAAGGTTGCAATATGGAAAATGTGTACATTTTTGAAAAGTAAAGTACCAATGATGGCTTAAATATTTCTGAAAGTGTATTTACTCCACTAAGTGAACTGATTGGTTTGGTTCTGAAGCCAAAGTGCATTCTTAACTAGGCAACCTAAAGCCTTCAAACAAGCCTAAGGACAATAAATGATGATGTAATGCTGCTGTATGAAAAAAATAATACATTCCACAGTCTTGGCATTTTTGTTTTGCTGATTGCAGCAGTGGCAGTTTATGCAATAACAGTACTGTCATGTGTTTTATTTTTAATAATTCTAAATAAATTGAAACCGAAACCCTTTATTCACTCTTACTTTCAGAGGCTGAAGCACTCTTTCATGCCCTTTTAAAAATATTTAGACATAGACATCTATATGGGCTGCATTATCATATCTCATACTGTAATGAGACAGTCATGCACAGTATTTTTAAGTGAGTTGAACTAATCTAAATCAAAAGAATGACTTCTTTGCACATTTTGAAATCTTAAGAAGTTGCCAGTAGATGAGCTGGTCCCACTTTTTATTAAGTGTCCTTAACTACTATGTACTTGCATCAAAAAATAAATACAATGTACTTACTGTGTTCATAATGTATTTGAGAACACTTGTGGTGGTCTTGAGTTGGGATAGGGGTTGGGTTATGGACAGGTTTGGTGGTATGGGTAGGTTTAAGGGTGGGTTAAGGTGTAGGGAATGGTCAGCAGTGTATTTACAAATGTAATTACAAAAGTTAATTACTGATGTAATTACAAACAGGTATTTAATCAAGCATAAGTACACAATAAATACATGTATTTACACAATAAGTACATTGTAATAAACTATTAATTCCTGTGTACTATAAGTACATATTAGTTAAGGCCACTTAATATAAAGTAGGACTGATGAGCTAGTTCATAAGAGTTGCATGAATTGCTTTTAATTTAGCCATGTACTTATGCCCTTTTAAAGCTTTAGTCCCAACACGATACAGTTGTTATGAGTGTCCCTGTTACGCTATTTTTAAAGTTGCTAATTTTGTTTTCATGCATTCATGATTGAAAAAAAGTGTTCAGATTTTTGCAGATCTTTTGCATTCACAAACAGCTACTGTGCATTATACACTACACTATGTGACAAAAGTCTTGCTGCCTATCTAAGTTATAGGAACAACAAATAATGACTTCTAGTTGGTCATTTGGTATCAAAAGTGGCTTATATGAAAGGAAAAGGCCTCTAGATTACGCTTATCTTACCAAACTAAAATATGATCATGCCTTGATTTTTAATTATTTATTTCGGACAGTAAGGTCTGACTTTGCTTAGACAAAAGTCTTGTCACTTAACAGAAATAATGTCCAGTATAGAATATGAAGTCATGGTGCATCCATGCATCTCTGCAATGACTCAAATAACTTATTAATAAAGTCATCTGGAATGGTAAATAAAGTGTTTTTGCAGGACTCCCAGAGTTCATCAAGCTTTGGATTCATCTTCAATGACATTCTACCATGAATATGCTTAATAATGTTCATTTCTGGTGACTGGGCTGGCCAATCCTGGAGCCACCTTGATTTTCTTTGCTTCAGGAACTTTGATGTGGATAGGGGCACTATAAGGAGCATACATAGTCAAATAACACAAAAAAAGTCAAGCAACATAATGGTCAGGAAATGGTAATGGTTTTTATTCCTAGGCCAGTACTAGACTAACTGGTTTGAGCTTTGATGAGCAGTAGAACAGACACAAATGCTGTAATTCTGCTTCCAGACAGCTTCGCTCTGCTAAAGAAGGTTTCACTGAAGCCAGTCTTGGGCTGTTAGCCAATCAGAGACGTCGACAGCTGCTGACAGGACTGTTGAAGTCTTTGAGGACCATAAAGACTCTGGTAATTACTTCATTGAGATGGTTAATGACTAAACAAAATGTGTATACCTTGCTCTCCAGCTTCACTGTCACTCTTTCCTCATTTTACTTCTCGCTGTTTTACTTGCAGCAAAGAACTGATGTTCGACTGAGCGAAATGCTGGAGGTGAGTTTGAAAATCCTCTCCAAATATGCATTGCACAAATTCACCCCATATACAAACCACAACCAAAAGGGAATTCACAAACAACTCTACAAGTAATAGCTGGATGAAGATGCTTTTAACTGAATTGTCTCTCACGCTCTTTAATTGTAGAATTTAGTCCATTTATGCCATTGGTTTATGTAAATTTTCAAAGTAACAGCTTATTCTGTTATTGTAACGGTAAAGATTAAAATCTTACCTAATGTGAACTCCGTTGTTCAAGTTTGACCCTGTAAAAAGTGTCTAGAGATCAGGTAAAAGGTTCAGGTAAAATGAGGCATTTAATTTTACAGGAGGAGGACTATCCTGGCGCCATCCAGCTGTGTTTAGAATGCCAGAAAGCTGCCAGCACTTTCAAACACTACAACTGTATAAGGTGAGTGGAGAAACGCTAAACATAATGCTGGGAGAACCAGACCCTAAAGTGTAGTTGTGGGACAGTTCACAAAATTGTTGGTTCGGTTTGTATCATGGTTCTGTGGTTGTTGCGAATTAGCTCAAAGGGAAGAAGAAGATTCACTTGAACAGGGCTTCACAAGAATGGACTTTTTTAAATCCGAACAAACGAATCGTCCAGCGATCGTTCAAACTGACAGTTTACTTTAATTACAGCTATTGCTATCAAAATAAAAACCCATTTATGTTTAAGCAGCGTAGCAAAATCGAAGTTTAAGACATTAGATTCATGAATATACACAGGCACCTTTCTTTATACAAAACAACACTTTATTGACTAATCTAACAGAAAATAACACCTAACACAAACACACATTCATACGAGTGTAGAGAAGAGTAAAGAAAGTTAAATAAAAGTTTGAGAGAATGTGATGATGGAAAACCTCGGATTTTGTAAGACCAAACCAAGCGAACCACAAATAATCTATTTAACCCTTCTATGGTTTTTTTAGGGTAACATTTAGTTTACACCGGTTCAGTGCTAATCTGGAAGTGTTACTTGCGTTCCTTTAGTGATGTGAAGAACTCCCTCTGTTGAGCATGTGGCTGGCTAGTGTTCAGTTATTTTATCCTTGTCGTTTCAAGTTTTGAAAGCAGCAAAAAGGCCAATCATGTTTGACTACTGGTTTTGCGGCACTTGATTAGACTCTCGGCGGAAAAGAAAGAAAGAAAGGTATCGAGATGGGAATGTCTGAGCTGTGGATTTAACCCATTTTGTCTTGGTCCCCGCCTGCTCCTTGGAGTCCTCTGGGTTCAAGTCTTTCTCTGGCCTGGGCCTTCTAACTTGGGTGTTTTTTCTGGCCTCAGGTTTCCTCTGGCCTGAGGTTTCTTGTTTCTGGAGTTTTTGGTTCTTCCTGAGTGGTGGCCTTAGGCACAAGCTTTTATAAGGGTGGTTTGTACCCACCCTCCAGGGCCAAGTTTTCACTTTGTTCAGAAGTGTAGTGATTTGCATAGGTGATGTAAACTGAAGCAGAAATGTTCACGTTTCTTAAAATGTAATATATTGCACACTTATTTAGATAAAATGAAAACCATTGTTCATTACAATGACATTTGCAGTTTCAAAAATGTAGGCTGGAGCACATATTTCCAATGATGATGATGTCGTGAAAAAAAAAATTAAAAGTTGGCTTGAAGAGGATGGCAGCTGAAATCCAGTACTGGCAAACACCAAATTCACCTATAGCGCATGTCTTTGGGCTATGGGGGAAACCGAAGCACCCGGAGGAAACCCACACGAATACGGGTAGAATATGCAGACTCCACATAGAAATGCCAACTGAAATAACCGGGACTCGAACCAGTGATCTTCTTGCTGTGATGCGACAGTGCTAACCACTAAGCCACCGTGTTGCCCTCAAATTCCTCAATTATCACATATTCCAGTCAGATACCAAAACACTCACTTCCCTGCCAAATGGTTGAGAAAATAAACTAAACAATACAACAACGTGAACGTGATTGGAACAGAGTGGTTCACTTTTTCCCCCATAAACGTTCTGCTAAACTCTATGGCATGCGCTGAATAAAAATATGACAATATGAATTTAAATATAAATTTTTAAATTCATAACGACCATAAAAAAGGATGGTCGTGTTTAGTATACTGTCACTAAATTCATACTGTAGTTGACCTTTAAAGACCGGCTGAGTTATATGTAATTTGACAGCCACTATTTTAGGGCCACTGTTTATCACATGACGTACTGTATAATGATGCATCATGATGTTTTGCAGCCATTTATGTAGCGCTCCACTATTTATCAAATTAAAGTGGCTTAGTTATTGAAAGTACAAAGTTTGTGAGCATTTAAAAATGTTTTAGTTTTAAATTGCGTTTCCTGGATTGACATGTATTTAGGGACTTTGTTGATACAAAAAGCCAATTGTGGCCAAAATACCTCTGGGCTCAGAATTCCACTTCATTTCTCCTCTTGAACTTGCCTGCTGATCTCTTGACTTTAATAAGCTGATGTGTATCTGAATTGAGCCACTGCCAGTTGAACCACTAAAACATTCTTATTGACTGCAAATTCCTCCACCTGCTTTATAATTCAGCTCACTCTTTCAGGAGAATGGAGCACTGCTCAATAGCCACAACCCTTGTTAATAAAAGCATGCTTGATGGAATTTGTCAGTGTTTATGGTGTGAACACTGCGGTTTGCCCATCTCCATTCCTGCAGGGGGAAGTGATAAGGTGTTTAATTGGATGTGTTGAGATCCTGAGTTGTGTGCTCGGGCCCGATCATAGACCCGGTGCAATTCTAGTTTAGTAAGTTCTAGTTTCCACACAGTTTTTTTTGCTAGTTTGGCGCAGGTATCATTTTGCACTATGTTGTTTTAATTGCTAATGCATTTGTGGTAATTTTTTAGCCTATGGTTGTACTGGTCTAAAAAGGAGGTGTGGCTGTGCCAATGACCCTCTAAAAGCTGCTTTAAAATCATTGTAAGATGGTTTTCATTTGTTTACTCAAAGAGCGTATTAGTGTTTTACACTTATGCGGGTACAAAACATGCATACGCATTGCTTATTACACACACAGGGATGCACAGCAGTACACAAATATCTTTAAATATAACAAATTAAAGGATTAAAATGCAAAGAAAAATATTATTGTCTACATAAATATAAAAACCACCACCTTCTCTCATGCATTCTTCCCTCAGGGGGGTTACTTTTGCTGTGCATAATTTTATTTCAGTTTATTATAGTTTTTAAAACTTGTCCATTTTTAAAAGAAACTCTGAAAGTTCAATGGTCCTAAAAAGGTTTAAAGGTGCTGTATGTAAGATTTTGACTCTTCTAAAGCACAAAAATACCGTAATATGTTTTCAGATATTTAAGAAACGTGCTAAGTGAACATTCTTGTTCGTCTGAAAAACAACGCTGAAGTCAGATATTCTGCTTTGAAAATGTGCATTACGTGCTGGAACAGCTCTCTTTGGTCATTTAACTCACCCAATGCCAGTTTAGCCCATTATATTTTAACCCCCGGTTTGCCTTGGTGTTACATTGTAACCCTGTGTCTTAACAACACGCTACGTGACGAGATTTGCAGTGATAACCAATTGGGCTGTTTGCACCAGATGAAACATGACAGAACTTTAAATACAGCCATTCAGAAGCGCAGAATAGTGCACTCACTGCACTCCAACCAAACAGTAAGGTTTATAATCTAATAAATACATATTAAACCTCTTTAACATTATTAAATGTAAATGCTCAATCACTGATATGTGTTGGTTTGCACTTAGTCTCAGTTCTAAAGTTCAATTTCAAACAGTTTATTTTATTTTACAGGTCTGTGGTGAACTATCTGCTGCTGCTTTCAGTAGTATGGCAATGAATGTCATGTAAAATGGCATTCAAACTCACATTATTAGCATTTAACAATGAATAAAACACATGAGATGTACCTGAAGTGATCACTGTCAGTTTTCTGTTGTTTAGCTGCAAGAAATAATTTCAGGTGTTGGTTGGGACAAACTCTTTTTTTTAATATGGAAATATTTTTTCTTTTACATACCATTGCTTTTAATTAGAACTGGATTTAAATCAGCCTTTGTTGGCATCGTCAATCTGGCAACCTTCTCTTGTGTGTGTTTTAAACCAGTGTAATACCTTGTTCAAATAGAGCAACAAACGCCTTTTTTTGTTCGTTTTTTTCTTTACTCAAACACCTTTGAGCTACCATTGGTCCATTGGGTTTACGCAGTTGGTGGGTTTGTTCTGGAGCGCCTCCTTTGGCGAGCGTTCACTTTTGCCCCCGATTCATTTCTCATTCCATGGAGGTCAGACAGGATACGACAACAACATGTACATGAACAAACTGAAGAGTCAAGTAGCAGAGCTTGTTTGTACAGACCAGAGCAGATGTTTACAGAGCTTTTCTTTTCTCATAGGCATTATTGTTGTTGTTTTTATGAGTGGACTAGTACACTCTTGAGGTTTTTTTTATCCACTTTCGTCAATTGGTGAAGTTTGTTTTTTCGTAACCGTTGCCTCTGGCTTACTTGGTTTGAGACTTATGGAGCTGTGCATCGATGGATTTGCTCTTCAGTGTCTGGTCTTTTAGCAGAGAAAATAAACCACACTGAACTGAACTAAACTGAACTGAACTTCAACTCTGAAAACTGAACTGACACTTTCAATCTACTAGAACTACTATGTTAAGCTGCTTTGACGTAATCTACGTTGTAAAAGTGCAATAGTAATGTAGATGAATTGAATTGAACACAAGCAACATGACACGTACTGTATAACTCTGCCTCCTGCAGCGTGGGGGTGTCTGTATATTTGAAAACAACACACCGTCACTTAGCTTATTAGAAATTTTTTTTGCTCTCAAACAAAAGTAAAAAGTTTGTTTTTTCATTCCATTTCAAGCCTTAAAATTATCCTTAAAATTGTCCTTGGCTATTTTTTTTTACTTCACAAGCTGCATTTTATCTTTATTTTTAGCATTTGAGATGGAATTTCAGAGATCTTATTTTATTCATTCAGGTTGGTGCGTCCCTGTTTTTGTTTTAGATGCATGTGTGTGTTAAAACACCCACAGAGAATGGGAATTGACAGGGTGGACCGTGAAGAAGCTAGACACACAGATTTGTGAACGCAAGCAAATGCAGAATGACTCACACTGTCTGTGGAGAGACTGTCAAAGGCTGGACCGTGCTTGTGGAGTGCCTGCTTAGTGACCTTCAAACATTCGAAACAGATTTTCTGGAGGTTTTTTGAAACAATCTGTGTGTTCCACTCTTAGATGGTTTTTAAGAGTGCAAGATTGAAAGATTTCTTTTTTTACCCGTTTACTTTGTAAAATGCACTATTACTTTTTATAAATTTAGGGTAAAACTCTTTTAAAAGCAAGAAATCAATTAATAATTGGTTGTAATTTAGCAAAGATGCCTCATCTCAA